GCACACGTGTTCCACCTGTGGCACCCATACCAAATTCAGATATGCTGCTTATGAAGAATTAATCACAGGGCTCCAAGGGTTGCCTAAAATATCACAGTCACAGATGGAGTTAAATTTCTCACAGAATTTCAATGATTGGAGCATTGCTTCTTGCCACAACAATAACCCCCAAAAGACAATGTTTCCAGGCTCCATCCAGTCCCATCTTGGGACTGGGGGGCTGCTGAGGGGTAGGAAGTGTTGGGCGGCTCCCAGGGCTGCTTGCTGTAACTCCTCCTCTTTCTCTCCCACTGATCCTTGACAGAGCCCATGGCTGAGAGCTTCTGATTTAGAGAAGATTTACTCAAGAAATTAACGTCTCAAGGTATGTTACCTTTGTACAAAAAAAGGAAAAACATGAAAAACTAATATATCTGCTTATATATGCATAGAATATCTCTGAAAGAGTATATAAGAAATGAAAGTTGTTGGGCTTTTTTTCCCAGGAGAAGACCTGCATGGCTGGGGGACAGAGGTGAGACAGAGAACTGACACTATATATCCTTTTACGTTTTGAATTTTGTTTGTATTGCCTCCATCACCTGTCTGTATCAGTTTGTCATATTGTAATGGCTTGTGTGTTGCTGTGATGCTGAAGCTATACCACTGGTATTTCAAATACCAGCAGGGTCACCCATGGTGGACAGGTTTCAGCAGAGCTTCTAGGCTAAGACAAACAAGGAAGAAAGGCCTGGCGATCTACTTCTGAAAATTAGCCAACGAAAACCCTATCAAGCACTCACTTGCTTTGGACACATCATCAGGAAGGATTAATTACTGGAGAAGGAGATCATATTTGGTAAAGTAGAGCGCAAGCAAGGAAGGGGGAGACCCACAGTGAGATGGATTGACACAATAGCTGCAACGATGGACTTAGATATACCAGTGATCATGAGGATGGCACAGGATTGGGCAGCATTTTGCTGTGTTGTACATAAGGTCACCATGAGTCAGAATCGACTCAATGGCATCCTTATATCATCTATTTATTGCTTAAAAGTATAAAAAATATCTGATTTTTAAAAGATGCAGTCTGTATTAGTTTCCTAGGGCTAAAATAACAAAATATCACAATTGAGTGTCTTATAAGAAGAAAAATTTATTGTCTTACAGTTCTGGAGGCCAGGAGTTGCCATGGCCAACTCCCTTCTCCAACTATATCTTTACTTTTTTTTTTTTAAGGGCTTACTATTATTATTATTACTGTTGATGGTTCTTCTTTCTTTAACATTACTAACTTTTGCTATGTGCCAGGTATGGTGCTAATACTCGGTGTGCCTTATTTTATTTAATACTCCCAGTAACGCTTCAGGATAGGTACCATTATTATAATCACCATCCCATGTTACAGAGAAGGAAGCTGGGGAACAATTCAGTAACACTTTTGAGGAGACACAGAAAATAAGTAGTAAAGCTGGAGTTTGCACCCAAATGGTCTAAAATCAAAACTCACACTGCTACCCTCTGCTCTACTTTGCCTACCTCCCCCCTCCCTTGCAACAGCCTGTCCAAAACGCCTCACATGGGGATATCTACAGTGGTGTCACTAGGATTGGCGTCACCCAGCGAGGTAACTCATGGTGTCACGCCCTCCCCCCCCACACACAATGGACCTCCTCTGGCGCCAGACCATACGGAATCCTTAGCAATGTTTTTTGTACTAAGGTTATTCGTAAATCGTAACTCCTGTATATCACTGAATATAATGGTAATTTGTTGTTAGGTGCCATGGAGTCGGTTCTGACTCATAGTGACCCTATGTACAACAGAAGGAAACACTGCCCAGTCCTGGGCCATCCTCATGATCCCTCACAACCTTTGCTCTGCTTGAGCCCGTCGTTGTAGCCACTGCGGCAATCCATCTCATTGAGGGTCTTCCTCTTTTTCGTTGACCCTCTACTCTACTAAGCATAATGTCCTTCTCCAAGGACTGGGAATAGTAGTGACATAAAAACTTGTAAAATTAAAATTACACCTTTAAATTACAATATCCTACACACAGGCACAGCCGGGGAGGCGCTTGCAGGAAGGAGCCGAGACCTCTTGGCTGAGGGATGAAACGCCAACAGTCTTCTGAAGAAAACGGAGCTGCAGGCGGGGCTGTGGGGTCACTCTCGGGCACGGTCCTGACCGAAGACGGCCTGGCGGCTCTGGCCCGCCGGGGTTGCCTCTGTTGAACTTTGCAAGACCTTTCACTTCCCAGCTGCCAAGAGATATTTTTATAAAAAATAATAAATTTCTGCTGAAACACTGCACAAAAAATGTACAGACAGTCATTTTGGTATCACCCCTCTGACAGTGTCACCCGGTGCAGTCCGCACCCGCACCCACCTAGAGACGCCTAAGAAAAAGCTTCCCTCTGCGTTGACTTGGGGGTATAAGCCAGGCCACACGCACACAGGCTTTGGGTAGAACTGGGGTCATTCAAAGTAATCATTACTATGTTTTCCTGGCTCTCATCTTCTCCAGCTAACGACGGCCCTGAGCCCTCGGAAAGACTTTCATTTCTGGCGGAGCCTGAGACCCGCAACGGCGCTCCGGCCCTTCGCCCTGAATGTCCATTTAGCCACTGGAGGGCAGTGCGTCTGTAAAATCCCGAGGTCGGGGCCACACATGGGCCTAGGTTTCCGGGAATCCTCCAGGGCGGGAGGCCAGGCGGGATTGTCCCTTCCCTCCCTGTGTCACCCGAAGCAGCCAGTCTGGCTAGGTGCCTCCGAGCCCCTCGTGCGTACGGCGTCTTCAGCTTCTGCCCGCCTCCCCTCCCTGCAGGGTTCATAAGTGGCCCCGGGTGCCGCGCGGGGAACCAGGGTCAGAGTTAGCACCCTCTGGCGCGCGCGCACACAACCCCCACACCCACTGCCTCCTTATCCTCTTCTGCCCCCAATCGTCCTGCAAATTAATTCCTGGTAAGATTCCCACTGATTCTTCAGACGAGCCTGGTCAGAGCCGAGTCCCTGTTTGAGTTGATCGCCCGCACGGCAGGCAGGCGTGACAGATCCTCCACCGGACGGTTCTTTATTGCTTTGAGCCGGCGCTGGGATAATTCCACCCCTTTATCCACTCTATTCTGCTGCTGTCTCCACACCACACACACAGGCCCCTGCAAAATGAGTACAGCTACAACCACAGGCACTGAAAAGAACAAAACAATATAATCCCACTTGTCTGAAATATCTAGACTAGGCAAAGGCATAGAGACCAAAGTTTGTTAGTGGTTACCAAGGTCGAGCAGAAGGAATGGAGACTTATGCTTACTGGGTACTGATTTTCTGTGTGAGCTAATGAAACACTTGGAAATGAATAGAGGTGATGGTTGTACACATGGTGAATGAAATTGTTGTCACTGAATTGTATGCTAAAAAAATGGTTAAAATGACAAATCTGTCGTTATATATACAGTAAAACGTGAGAGCAGAACTCGACGAGACTGCATTGTTTTTCCGGGTCTTGAAAGTTGCAGTCTTACCACTTTTCTGTCGCTCTCTATTAGTGGTAAATATTTGAGTTTTCCTTCTCTGACAGGTTTCTGCCTTGCACAGATTCCGGCTTTTGCAGGTTTTAGTGTATTTACCACACACAATAAAATCATTTCTTTAAATCACTGCGGTTTGCTAAAGGTTGAATGATTCCTACTTTTTTTTTAGAATTGTGCTTTACGTGAAAGTTTTTAGAGCACTTAAACAATTAATACACAAATTGTTTTGTGACTTAGGTTGCCAACCCCACTATGTGTCAACACTATCCCTTCTCCACCCCAGGTTCCCTGTTTCTATTCATCCAGCTTTCCTTTCCTTCCTTGCCTTCTCATCTTTGCTTTTGGGCTGGTGTGCCCGTTAGTCTTGTATACACAGTTGAACTGCGTGTGTTATTGTTTCTTTTATAGGCCTGTATAATCTTTGGCTGAAGGGTGAATTTAGGGAAATGACTCCCACGTTTTTGTAAAAAAAAAAAAGAAGAAAAAGAAAAGGCAGCTCTGAAATAAAAAAAAAAGAACAATAACAACAACAAAAAAGAACACTGGCACACAGAACATAACAGTAGTGTACATAACACTGACTCCTCTTAATTATTTCCTCTTGTTACAATACAGTAGCCTAACAGCAACAATGACAATGACAACATGGTGTTACCACTTACAAAAGACTTTCTCAGTGAGCAGCAGGACCTGGGGAAAAGAGAAAGAGATGAATCAGATCTCAGCAAGATAATGAGCAAATTACTTATCCTGTCTGAGTCTCCTTCTTCATTTGTAAAAGGGGGAGAATCATTTAACACCCAACTGGGTTCTTGAAGTTTTAATTAAATAATGTACGGGAAAGCAGAAAGTGGTCCACAAATGCTACTGGTTACAAGGACCAAATCCCAGCAACTCCCGATCAAAATTAGATAGCTACAGAATCAGTGGTGTCCAACTAAACAGTTTTAAAAAAATTATATTTTTCTGAAGTATCATTTTTACTGGGAAAAGCATAACAACACCATCCAAGGGGGAGAAAAGCTATAATTTTAATCATCCATAATTCTGTCACCTTAATACAACTTTAAAAATTTTTATGCCTTACATTCAACAGAAATGCCTATTTTTTAAAGTGTTTTAATCATCCTTAGGTAGTTTTTTTTAAAAGCATGTGTGTTTTCAAGCAAATGAAAAAATCTCCAAGCACCAGAAAAGTATCAGGGCATGTGCTGGAAGGAAAATGTTTGACTCCCAGAATTCTCTTCTGAGGAGGTCACAGGTTCATGTGGAAGAACAAAAGAAAGCAGCTGAACTTAGGCTCAGCTTTAAACTTATGCACCCTTTTGTTGCACGAGCCTGGGTTGCTAAGAAATGGGAGTTGGAACTGGGCTTCTTTCCATCAAGAGCTGCAGAGCTGAGGACAACTCTGTGGCACATCCCGGGCAAGAAGACTATTTGGGAAGCCCTATGAGTAGGAATCGACTCAGTGGCAACAGGTTGAAGTCTGAGGGAGGGGCTGGGGAGTCCACCCCACCCCACAACCACCTAGAAAAAGGAAGCAGAAAAGGGAGAAACAGCAGCAGTGACTACACTTCCTTCATTTCTCACTCTTGGGACTTTACTGACTCGCAAAAAGCAGCTGTACGGAGAAGCGAACCAAAGAAGAGGAGTTTTCCACCACAGTCTAATAACACTGAGGTAATTTTAATTCTTACCCTTTTACCCCTGGGGTGAGGAATGAACAGAGGTGTCTTACTTTCCACCAGAGGCAGCGAAAAATACTCCCAGAGATGAGATATCCCTTCACCTTTCCCACCCAGGTTTCCTCCAAGTTGGAAACAAGTCTTAAATCTTAAAATTTGGGTTTCTTTAAAAATGTATGTAGTGTGCTAATTTACCTTGGTAAGACAATGCTCTGACTCATAAATTTGCCCCCAGCTCTCAGTATTTATCGATCGTCACTGTTTACAGGACATGGTGCTGGTCCTGTGGAAGGTTCCAAAGGCAGGAGAGGTTACCATGAGCTGGTCTGTCCTCTTCACTCTGTGCACTGAACCCTAGATACCTACCATTCTGAGGTTTAGGTTTGCAGAAGGAAAACAGAGGCTAGAAGTCACAGACTAGCAAGAGTTGAAGACATCTTTCTGTCATTTCTACTAAACTAGATATGTCTAACAGCAACTTCGTTTTTCTTCCTTACTTTAATTACCAAGGAAAGTGAGCCCACATTGTGTGTTCCAGGAGGTTCTACGCCCTTCTCTGAAGCAGGTCCCCTGGAGATAGGTCAGCTGATGGTGACTCTTGCATCCCATTACTTCCTGGCCCTTTCAAAGCCCAGGTCTGAGTTTGAAACCTGATGTTGTAAAGGCTCATCCTTCTTTTGAAGTAGAAGCTCTTCCATGTTCCTGTATGGGATTTGTGTTCCTTCAGAAAATAATGACTGATGTGTGCACCTCATCTTTCTCCTCTAGGATTTAGCAGTGGCCTCTATGGGCTCTGTGAATTCCAGAGGTCACCAGGCAAAAGCCCAGGTAGTGATGATGGGCCTTGACTCAGCAGGCAAGACCACGCTCCTGTACAAACTGAAGGGCCATGAGCTGGTGGAGACCATGCCCACTGTTGGCTTCAACGTGGAGCCTCTTGAAGTTCCTGGGCGTGTGTCTTTGACTCTCTGGGATGTGGGAGGGCAGACCCAGCTCAGGGCCAGCTGGAAGGACTATCTGGAAGGCACAGATATTCTCGTGTATGTGCTGGACAGCACAGACAAAGACCGTCTGCCTGAGGCAGTGGCTGGGCTCAGGGAAGTGCTGGACAACCCCAACATGGCCAGCGTCCCTTTCCTGGTGCTGGCCAACAAGCAGGAGGCACCTGATGCTCTACCACTGCTGGATATCAGAGACAGGCTGGGTCTGGAGAGATTCCAGGACCACTGCTGGGAGCTCCAAGCCTGCAGTGCCCTCACCGGGGAGGGGTTGCCGGAAGCCCTGCAGAGCCTGAGAAGCCTCCTGAAATCCCGCAGCCACCTGTGTCTCCAGGAAAGGAGTGAGGAGAGCAAGAAATCTTGACTGAGATAGGGCAGCTTATCTTTGCTCATACAAACTGGAGGAACCAGCTAATCCTCAGCTTATCAAACCAGAAATTCTGCTGTTCTTGGATAGGATAGTTTCTTCTCAGGATTTATTCTCACTGATGTTTATGTGGAAAATCAACTATTCTTTGAATAATAATACTCTTAAAAAAAATCTCAACATGCTCCATTTAATAACTTATTACCAAATGTGAACTGAGCAATTGTAATAATAGAGGAACTAGTGATTCCATAATAATCAAGACCTAAATTCACAGAGGAAAAGATGTTTCAAAATCAAATCAGAACATCAGCTGGATGTGGTCACAATTGTTGTGAGTGATTTTGGGTTTGTGCCATTATCCTCTGTGTGCAAGTAACCAGGTTCAGAAGAAGTGGGCAGGAGAGTCTGCTACTACGGAATCTGGGTTTAGAGGGTCACTGGGGAGCTCAGCCCTGGGCAAGGAGCTGGCAGTAAGGCTTCCAAAACATACCCTCTTCTCTGGTCCTGATTAACCCTGTCTACACTTTTGTCATCCTGTGTTGGTCTTTTTTTTTTTTTTAACTCTTAATTTTTTTTCCTTTCTTTTATTCTTCTCTTTTCTCCTTCTTGTAGCACATATCTTTCCTTAAACATCAGATTAATTAACTGTTTAATTCATTTATTCCATGAGATCAGTGGCAAAAGGCACTGAGTTTACAGATATGCACCAGGCACTGTAGATGGGAGGTGTGAATTGTGAAGATACATGACAGCAATGCCTTCTCCCTCGTTGTTATTAATATTAAAAAGAAAACTTGAACATAGTATCTTAGAAGGTTTTTGTGGTGATCTTAACCTAGGATCCATGATGCTCCTGAACTTATTTGTAAAATGCATGCTTTGGGCCATTTTTCTGGGAAGAAGATTCATAACTTTTATCACACTTTCAAAGGCATCTGTGCTCCCAAAAGTTAAAAATCACCGATCTGGTGCTATCCCTCAGCCAGCCCAGGAATATTTCCTACAATCTCAGCTCTTAATGGCAAGGAGCTGACACTCGGTGCCGGTTCAGATGTTAAAAAGCTCTAAATGTTGGATAGACCTTCCTATCCTAGATTTAAGTCAGCCTCCTTATAGCTCCTGGTGGTGGTTCTGCCCTCTCTGGAGTAACACAATATAAACTGGCCTTGATGCCCTTCTAACATCTAAGATCTACCACGTCCCTGTCCCCAGTCTTCCCATCTTCATTCAGGTTAGGCATGCCCAGTTATTTCCACTACTTCTCATACGACATGTTTCAAGACTTTCTACGTTAGACACTGAGAATACGAAGATCAATCAGACAAGTCCTCAGGCCTCATGGAGCTTTGATGGGGGAGGCATAACTCTCATCAAAGTACAATAATAGAGGCTCAGTTCAGCAACCGTTTACTGAGCACTTACTCACGGCCAGGCTCTGTGCTCCACTCTTTACATAGCCAAAACCAAACCCGTTGCCATCGAGTCAATTCCGTCTCATTGCAACCCTATAGGACGGAGTAGAACTGCCCCATAGGATTTCCAAGGAACGGCTGGTGGATTCAAACTGCCGACCTTTTGGTTAGCCACGGAGCTCTTAACAACTGTGCCACCAGGGCTCCTCTTCATGGAGATTGCCTCTAATTCTTATAACTCTGAAAAGTAGATATTACTCCTATTTTATATCATTAGAAATTGAGGTTCTCTGAGAAGTTAGCTATTAAGTGATTTATCTAGAATTAAAACTGGTTATGTCTAGCTCCAATACCTGCATTCTTCCACAACAGCATGCTTCTACAGCAAAACCTGTGAAAGCCGGAATCTGTGTAAGGTGGAAACCTGTCAAGGAAGGAAAACTCAAATATTTTCCACTAATAGAGAGGGGCCAAAAACTGGCAAAACTGCACCCTGTCAAAGATGGAAAACTTGCGAGACCCAGAAAAACAAGGCAGTCCCATAGAGTTCTGGCTCTCACAGGTTTTACTGTAGCAGATTTAAGCTAGGGTAGATCTTTAATCAGGGTCCCTGGGTGGTGCAAACGATTAAGAACTGGGCTAATAACCAAAAGGTTGGTGGTTTGAACCCACCCAGAAGTGCCTTGGAAGAAAGGCCTGGCAATCTGCTCCTGAAAGGTCACAGCTATGAAAATCCTATGGATCACAATTCTACTCTGAAACACATGCGGTCGCTGTGAGCCAGAACTGCCTCTATGGCAACTGGTAGACCTTCAATCAGAAGATACGACAGGAAGAGCATCCTAGTCAGAGGGAAGAGACTGCTTGGAAGCATGAAGGAAAGTGTAGGAAGTATAAGTGAGTCAGTGAACTTGACGTGGGGCTTGGAGTGAGCGGTGAGTGAGGGTAAAGTTATAATAGGAAAGACAGCTCAAAAGGAAGTTTAGATCCAAGTTGGGAAAGGCTGTTTTTTTTTTTTTTA